GGGGTTGCCTTCAAGTATTTTAAAATACAGTACTCACAACATTTATTTCACTTAAAAATTACTGTGCTTATAAATAAATAAAAGTAATTATAATATACCTACATAATAGATCCAATACAAAAGATTTGTGATTTATAGCTAAAGTTCGTTAGATAAGTCTAGTATCTAGTTCTGTATGGCCAGTTTCTGTTATTTTCCATGCCACACTCTTATTTCTTATAATATTTGTTTTTGAATTTTGTATTTAATTGACGTCCACGAGTACTACATGCTATGATAGAACTACGTATTGCATACAATGCAGCTCTCTAAATACGTATTTTCGTTCATGTTTTTATGGCTTTAAATTACCTGCCTCTAGGAGTATACTTCAAATCAGGCCAAACAACCTTTTGTATTGCATACTGTTGTTTGGTAGGCATTAAGTGTAGGTTTAGATCATAAAACTACAAACTATAAGATTTTTGAGGAAAAGCTCAATTAAATAAACTTCGCACGGCATTATGATTCAAACATTCAAACTCAATGTGAAAAAACGGGCTGCTAAATATAACCTGAGTACTACTAAAACCATTGTACAATTCATATAAAAGTAAACACATGCAATAAAATCTACAGGGTGACACAAAGGAACCGGACGTTTTTTAAATAAGTAGTACACAGTAGTAAAAAGGAATAAACTGGTTTTAATACTGTACATAGTGAGGTAAACATTTGCCATTTGTTACAAAACCGTCATTTTTTGAAAATGACGTCATGCATACGGCGGCCATGTACTTATCTACAAATGTTCATTCTGGTCTGAAAATCCTCTGAAACTCGGGTCAGGAGGTTCAATGCCACTGATATCTTCTGTGATTGCAAACTTCAAATCCTCTAGAGTGCGTGGTTTGTGAGCATGAACACGCTCCTTAAGAAAGCCCAAAGGATATAATCACTAGTGGACAAGCCAGATGATCTTGGCGGCCACGGCATGTCACCTAAGCGAGAAATCACCTTGTTAGGAAACATTCATTCAATACTGATCTCACTCTGGCGATGTTTTCGGGTGTTCTCGAAGTTCTAACAAGGCCTGGTAGTTGCTTTCTTCTTATATTCCCAGTTGTTCGGAACCCTGAAACCCATCTTAATAGCGTATTTCGGCTTGGAACCGTTCCATGGCGTTCAATATTAAAATGTCAACTCAAGTCCCGCTGGATTTGACGACGGATTCACCATTTTGGACCAAAGTATCCTATGTGAAAACGCGATGGTCTAGGGTCCACTGAGCCATTTCAACAAAAATGGCACGCCTCACTGAAGGTAATGACATAACTTCAATCTTCCTACCACGTGCAACAACAATGGAACAGCTGTTTAAAAAACGTCCGGTTCCTTTGTGTCACCCTGTATATATTAATTTGAAACTGTTTTTCTTTGTCACAGCTATTTTGAGAGAACGGCTGGACGTAGAAACTCGGTAGAGGTGTCTAAAGAAAGGTCTTGGTCTGTAGATGAGCCATCAAAAGAGAAAAATGGTGAATTCCTTTGGGGCTCTGCCCCAGTGGCCTTTGAATTCCTATCCCATGTTATTCTTATGAAGGAAAACGGGGTTTTTGTCACAGCTAATTTGAGAGAACGGCTGGGCGTAGAAACTTGGTAGGGGTCTCTAAAGAAAGGTCTTGGTCTGTAGATGAGCCATCAAAAGAGGAATGAGGTCAATTCCATTGGGGCTCTGCCCCAGAAGCCTCTAAAGTTGCCTCCAGATTTGTTTACATTACGACAAATTCTACACTACAGCTGTTAATATTTAAATTGTGATTTATTGAATTTGTCAAAATGAAGTACAGTTATGGGTTTTTCTGATTTTAAAATGGATTTTATTCTGCATTATGTCATGTTTTGCAATATAATGTTCTATTACCAAATCAGTGGAAAATCCTATCATCACAGTTCACAGTAACTCTTTTCTTTTGGAGTAAACTTATATCTATTGTATGGGTTGGTTTCTGCCTTTTTTACCACTTCTTGGAGATTGTACGTAGGTGATATTCGTTGGCATATTGCATCTGTAGACGAAACTTGGGTTGGTGTATAGAATGGAAAAGAGTGAGAAATCCTGGACAATTTGATCTAGACTAAAAATAAAACTGAATTAACACTGTTCTACATTTCTTGAGCAATCATTGAAATAACCGATTTGCAAACAATGGAAACATAGAAAAAGTCATAGAACACAACCAAGTAGAAGAAATAGAAATAATGTTTTTTTTTCATTTATAATCATTATCATAGACAACCTAATGCGACTATCAGAGGGAAAAATTTGTAGAAAACACTAAAAAAACAAGATCAGCTTTTTGAAAAAAGATAAGATATTTAAAAAAAATATTTGGATTATATCTAACTGTTGTGTAGATTGTGAGTATTTCCATAATCTTTGAGTCGCCTGTAATGCAATTGCTCGAATTCGAGCAACAGGTACACTAGTAACATAATAATTTAAACATATACAACTCATATAATTAGTACAGTCTCGTCCTTAAGCCTTATTGACACAATTAAGTAGTATTAGTTATAATCTATTAATTAATTTTATATATATATCGATTACTGAGTGGATATAATATAATGCTCACCTAGTAATCAAACCGTTGCCAGTTCGATCTTAAGAGAAGTAAGACACTTTTTGATGGTACAAAACTGGAACCAACAGTCTTTGATCATTGGAGTTTTTATTGCGCCTGGCTTATAAACCAGCTGATCCTAGCTAGTAACACAGCTGACTGACATCTTACCCCTTCAGCACCCATATCAGCATTAACATACTGACCTTAGTTTGTCGGCGTCGTATGGATCTAATATTGTTTTATTTTTGACTCTATCAGTGTATCTATCAGTTACGAACAAACTATGGCACTACTTGATACGGACATCTCAATTAATTTATCCCAATTAGTTTGATGAGTAGATCAACATTATTTGACCTTCGATCATATGTAGTATGGCAACATTATTGCCATACTACTCTCTCAGAGTATATACAGCAATCCTCCGCGAGCACATAGCACGTGTCGGCTGTAAAGTATTCGTGGTGATCCCCTATAGATAACGTGTACTGTATCAGAATTACCATAAACCGATAACTCTGGGAGCCCTTCCCATCACTACCAAGGGGTTGGTGCTATGGTCAGGACTTGCGCGATCGAGTTTGTCTGCATGTTATTTAAAAAAGTAAATTCACATTTACATTCAAATCAAAAATAGTGTAGTGAAGATAAACAATAAAAACTAATTATGAATAAATATAATGCATTTTCCTTAAAAGGTTCGAAAAATAGCAATGAGTATATGTACATAAACGTTTAAAAAAAATATATGTTTGCTTTAAAATAATTTATTTAACTGTTTTGCCTATCATAAGATCCGCATGGAACAAATTAGTGGTTTTAAGAAGAATTATAAGAAAGTTTTTTTATTTATCTATCAAAATCAAATAGTATATTACGTTACTAGTCCTGAAAAGTAGTTTACTCTAAAAAATAGTAGGAACTGATTGTTTTCTATCTAAGTTAGTGGTTTTGCATGTTTTTAACATGGTTTTACATGTTTTGTCGCCAGAAAATGTAAAACAACTAAGACATGTTTTGCTCAGATCAGGGTACACTGACTTAAATAGCATCCATGTATATTTATGGTTAGGTTCCCTTATACAAGGCCAAGGGATGCCTCCAAACGATGCTGAGCGATCTACAATACTGTTGACTAAACATTACATGGATTACCTGAGACACTACTCCTTCCGCGGGTATAATACGACCCTACTTACGTCGAGGAATACATAACGGTAAAATGAACTCCAGATCTACAAGCGCGCCTCTCGGCTCAAGTGCTCTTGGAGGAGCAGTGTCTCTTCAACATGTTCTTTTGTGCTGTTCATGCCCCAGTAACGCTGTGTTTCATTCATTAGCCAATGTAAATATTAGTCAAGAACATTACACTTCATTGTTGATATGACATATTTAAAAACATTATTCACAATGTTGCCCTGAATGAGTGGCGTCATATACATTCTGTCGTTGCCATCTAGGGTAGTGAAACAAGAAACAATCTTATGGTTTCGTGGTTCCGTGACAGAATTCATGCAATAAACAATCATCTCGCGACGATATTCAGCAAAGTCACGAGATGAACAGTTATATTATTTCTAAGTCAAGATAACACTCTGTACATAAACATAATAGTAAATTATCAATCAGTGGCTAAGCTTTTGTCGCGCATTGCTTTCGTTAACTAACTATTTATATGACCTACTGGTCGCCCTCGTGGTAGAAAATTCGACTAAAAATGTGTATTGTACAAAGTTCTCTATGTTCACCCCACAAAACATGTGATTGGAATTTCTTTCATTTATTTTGATTTTCTGTTTGTATTTCGTCACCAGCATGGCAACCCATAAGGCCCATGCTAATTTCTTCATGTTATTTAAAATTAATTTTTGTGCTTATTTTTGTTCTATTTTAATTTATAAAGTTATTCTGCACATCTACAGAAAAATATCTTTCTAACAGTATGCGTTGATTTCCCCTGCGATGCACACGAGCTGAGAAAAAATGTTTTAAAGAAACATGCTTGCCTATAGATACGTAATCGTTCATTAGAGTAAATGATGGAGTTTTTTAATGTTATCACACTAAAATTGCTCAAAAGGGTTGGTAAAAAAACCATACCCTGGAAGTATAAAAATAAAGTCCTCATTATAGGGAAGGGGTAATGCGAATAATGTTTGTATGGTTTGGGAAGGGGGGAGTAGTTGTGATGCCAGTTGCGTTAAAAATTTGTTTGTTGTTTCAGGAGGCAAAGGTCATTAAAGTATCTGTAACAATGTTTGTATGGTTATTGGGTAGGAGGAGGGCAGAGGTCATGATAGTATCTGTAACAATGTTTGTATGGTTGTTGGGTAGGAGGAGGGCAGAGGTCATGATAGTATCTGTAACAATGTTTGTATGGTTATTGGGTAGGAGGAGGGCAGAGGTCATGCTGGAATCATGAAGACCATGAAGATCATGAAGATGAAGGGGGCAAAGGTAATGCAAATGTCGTAAATGATGTTTGTATAGTTTGGGGATAGTTGAGGTTATGCCAGTGTCATTGTGCAATATGGTGGATGAGGGTCAGGCTGGTAGCGTGACCAGTGGTGTACAGTATGGCAGGTGGAGGCTAGGCTGGTAGCGTGACCAGTGGTGTACAGTATGGCAGGTAGAGGCTAGGCTGGTATCGTGACCAGTGGTGTACAGTATGGCAGGTGGAGGCTAGGCTGGTATCGTGACCAGTGATGTGCAGTATGGCAGGTGGAGGCTAGGCTGGTATCGTGACCAGTGGTGTACATTATGGCAGGTGGAGGCTAGGCTGGTATCGTGACCGGTGATGTGCAGTATGGCAGGTGGAGGCTAGGCTGGTATCGTGACCAGTGGTGTACAGTATGGCAGGTGGAGGCTAGGCTGGTATCGTGACCAGTGGTGTACAGTATGACAGGTGGAGGCTAGGCTAGTATCGTGACCAGTGACGATGATACCGGAGCATGGTGGAGGCTATGCTAGTATCGTGACAAGGGGTGTACAGTATGGCAGGTGGAGGCTAGGCTGGTATCGTGACCAGTGACGATGATACCGGGGCATGGTGGAGGCTATGCTAGTATCGTGACAAGGGGTGTACAGTATGGCAGGTGGAGGCTAGGCTGGTATCGTGACCAGTGACGATGATGCCGGGGCATGGTGGAGGCTAGGCTGGTATCGTGACCAGTGACGATGATACCGGGCCATGGTGGGGGCTAGGCTAGTATCGTGACCAGTGGTGTACGGTATGGCAGGTAGAGGCCAGGCTGGTAGCATGACCGGTGGTGTACAGTATGGCAGGTGGAGGCTAGGCTGGTAGCGTGACCGGTGGTGTACAGTATGGCAGGTGGAGGCTAGGCTGGTAGCGTGAGCGGTGGTGTAAAGTATAGAAGGTGGAGGCTAGGCTGGTAGCGTGACCGGTGGTGTACAGTATGGCAGGTGGAGGCTAGGCTGGTAGCGTGACCGGTGGTGTTCAGTATGGCAGGTGGAGGCTAGGCTGGTAGCGTGACTGGTGGTGTACAGTATGGCAGGTGGAGGCTAGGCTAGTACCGTGACCAGTGGTGTACAGTATGGCAGGTGGAGGCTAGGCTGGTAGCGTGACCGGTGGTGTACAGTATGGCAGGTGGAGGCTAGGCTGGTATCGTGACCAAAGGTGTAAAGTATGGCAGGTGGAGGCTAGGCTGGTATCCTGACCAGTGGTGTACAGTATGGCAGGTGGAGGCTAGGCTGGTATCCTGACCAGTGGTGTACAGTATGGTAGGTGGAGGCTAGGCTGGTATCGTGACCAGTGACGATGATGCCGGGGCATGGTGGAGAGGCTAGGCTAGTATCGTGACCAGTGGTGTACAATATGGCAGGTGGAGGCTAGGCTGGTATCGTGACCAGTGACGATGATGCTGGGGCATGGTGGAGGCTAGGCTGGTATCGTGACCAGTGGTGTACAGTATGGCAGGTGGAGGCTAGGCTGGTATCGTGACCAGTGACGATGATGCCGGGGCATGGTGGAGGCTAGGCTGGCATCGTGACCAGTGGTGTACAGTATGGTAGGTGGAGGCTAGGCTGGTATCGTGACCAGTTGAGTACAGTATGACAGGTGGAGGCTAGGCTGGTATCGTGACCAGTGGTGTACAGTATGGCAGGTAGAGGCTAGGCTGGTATCCAGTGGTGTAAAGTATGGCAGGTGGAGGCTAGGCTGGTATCCTGACCAGTGGTGTACAGTATGGCAGGTGGAGGCTAGGCTGGTATCGTGACCAGTGGTGTACAGTATGGCAGGTAGAGGCTAGGCTGGTATCCAGTGGTGTAAAGTATGGCAGGTGGAGGCTAGGCTGGTATCCTGACCAGTGGTGTACAGTATGGCAGGTGGAGGCTAGGCTGGTATCGTGACCAGTGGTGTACAGTATGGCAGGTAGAGGCTAGGCTGGTATCCAGTGGTGTAAAGTATGGCAGGTGGAGGCTAAGCTGGTATCCTGACCAGTGGTGTACAGTATGGCAGGTGGAGGCTAGGCTGGTATCGTGACCAGTGGTGTACAGTATTGCAGGTAGAGGCTAGGCTGGTATCCAGTGGTGTAAAGTATGGCAGGTGGAGGCTAGGCTGGTATCCTGACCAGTGGTGTACAGTATGGCAGGTGGAGGCTAGGCTGGTATCGTGACCAGTGGTGTACAGTATGGTAGGTGGAGGCTAGGCTGGTATCGTGACCAGTGACGATGATGCCGGGGCATGGTGGAGGCTAGGCTAGTATCGTGACCAGTGGTGTACAGTATGGCAGGTGGAGGCTAGGCTGGTATCGCGACCAGTGACGATGATGCCGGGGCATGGTGGAGGCTAGGCTAGTATCGTGACCAGTGGTGTACAGTATGGCAGGTGGAGGCTAGGCTGGTATCGTGACCAGTGGTGTACAGTATGGCAGGTGGAGGCTAGGCTAGTATCGTGACCAGTGGTGTACAGTATGGCAGGTGGAGGCTAGGATGGTATCGTGACCAGTGGTGTACAGTATGGCAGGTGGAGGCTAGGCTGGTATCGTGAACAGTGACGATGATGCCGGGGCATGTAGGAGAGGCTAGGCTAGTATCGTGACCAGTGGTGTACTGTATGGCAGGTGGAGGCTAGGCTGGTATCGTGACCAGTGACGATGATGCCGGGGCTGGGTGTCTCGTAATGTGCAATCTTTACGGGACGTTTTAGTCAATACAACGCCTATAACGTGCTTCGCGGGCTCCGTCAAGTTAACTTATCGGCATTTCTGACTTTATTCTTTTATTATAAATCTGTTTACACTATAGTAGGCATTTGGTAATAATTGTTTAATCAAATTTACTTTAAAGGATATATCATACTGTATACGATTTGTATTTACTTGATTGAATGTTTATGATTATAGAGTTACTAAACCATATTATTAGGGGTTCATTAAGATTTCGAACTAAAATGCGATTCAACATTGTACAGTATGGCAGGTGGGGGCTAGGCTGGTATCGTGACCAGTGGTGTACAGTATGGCAGGTGGAGGCTAGGCTGGTATCGTGACTAGTGACGATGATGCCGGGGCATGGTGGAGGCTAGGCTGGCATCGTGACCAGTGGTGTACAGTATGGTAGGTGGAGGGTAGGCTGGTATCGCGACCAGTTGAGTACAGTATGGCAGGTGGAGGCTAGGCTGGTATCGTGACCAGTGGTGTACAGTATGGTAGGTGGAGGCTAGGCTGGTATCGTGACCAGTGACGATGATGCCGGGGCATGGTGGAGGCTAGGCTAGTATCGTGACCAGTGGTGTACAGTATGGCAGGTGGAGGCTAGGCTGGTATCGTGACCAGTAACGATGATGCCGGGGCATGGTGGAGGCTAGGCTAGTATCGTGACCAGTGGTGTACAGTATGGCAGGTGGAGGCTAGGCTGGTATCGTGACCAGTGGTGTACAGTATAGCAGGTGGAGGCTAGGCTAGTATCGTGACCAGTGGTGTAAAGTATGGCAGGTGGAGGCTAGGCTGGTATCGTAACCAGTGGTGTACAGTATGGCAGGTGGAGGCTAGGCTGGTATCGTGACCAGTGACGATGATGCCGGGGCATGGTGGAGGCTAGGCTGGTATCGTGACCAGTGACGATGATGCCGGGGCATGGTGGAGGCTAGGCTAGTATCGTGACCAGTGGTGTACAGTATGGCAGGTGGAGGCTAGGCTGGTATCGTGACCAGTGACGATGATGCTGGGGCATGATGGAGGCTAGGCTGGTATCGTGACCAGTGGTGTACAGTATGGCAGGTGGAGGCTAGGCTGGTATCGTGACCAGTGACGATGATGCCGGGGCATGGTGGAGGCTAGGCTGGTATCGTGGCCAGTGGTGTACAGTATGGTAGGTGGAGGCTAGGCTGGTATCGTGACCAGTTGTGTACAGTATGGCAGGTGGAGGCTAGGCTGGTATCGTGACCAGTGGTGTACAGTATGGTAGATGGAGGCTAGGCTGGTATCGTGACCAGTTACGATGATGACGGGGCATGGTGGAGGCTAGGCTAGTATCGTGACCAGTGGTGTACAGTATGGCAGGTGGAGGCTAGGCTGGTATCGTGACCAGTGGTGTACAGTATGGCAGGTGGAGGCTAGGCTGGTATCGTGACCAGTGGTGTACAGTATGGCAGGTGGAGGCTAGGCTGGTATCGTGACCAGTGGTGTACAGTATGGCAGGTGGAGGCTAGGCTGGTATCGTGACCAGTGACGATGATGCCGGGGCATGGTGGAGAGGCTAGGCTAGTATCGTGACCAGTGGTGTACAGTATGGCAGGTGGAGGCTAGGCTGGTATCGTGACCAGTGACGATGATGCTGGGGCATGGTGGAGTCTAGGCTGGTATCGTGACCAGTGACGATGATGCCGGGGCATGGTGGAGGCTAGGCTAGTATCGTGACCAGTGGTGTACAGTATGACAGGTGGAGGCTAGGCTGGTATCGTGACCAGTGGTGTACAGTATGGCAGGTGGAGGCTAGGCTGGTATCGTGACCAGTTGTGTACAGTATGGCAGGTGGAGGCTAGGCTGGTATCGTGACAAGTGGTGTACAGTATGGTAGATGGAGGCTAGGCTGGTATCGTGACCAGTTACGATGATGACGGGGCATGGTGGAGGCTAGGCTAGTATCGTGACCAGTGGTGTACAGTATGGCAGGTGGAGGCTAGGCTGGTATCGTGACCAGTGGTGTACAGTATGGCAGGTGGAGGCTAGGCTGGTATCGTGACCAGTGGTGTACAGTATGGCAGGTGGAGGCTAGGCTGGTATCGTGACCAGTGGTGTACAGTATGGCAGGTGGAGGCTAGGCTGGTATCGTGACCAGTGACGATGATGCCGGGGCATGGTGGAGAGGCTAGGCTAGTATCGTGACCAGTGGTGTACAGTATGGCAGGTGGAGGCTAGGCTGTAATCGTCACCAGTGACGATGATGCTGGGGCATGGTGGAGGCTAGGCTGGTATCGTGACCAGTGACGATGATGC